ACATTCATATCTTGTCTGACATCTCTGCTACAAATTCTGGTCATCAACTTTGGTTTTCAGTTGAAATTGGAATTGTTAATTTACACAATAATAGGAGTGCATTGACGATTTTTTCTTAACTCGCAAAAATCTTCACACAATTTGCTACCGATTGGTGATAAAGTTTTTTGGAAATAATGAAATATGGGGAATAACGCCTTTTTATTCAGGGGTGATTTTTCAAAAATTTATTTTAAAAAAAGTACTAACTGGCAAATGTTTTTTATTAGCCCGCAATTTTCTTCAAAACTATTTCAATGAGGAAAAAAATAAAAATTTGGAATATCTATACATGAGGGGTTAATTGATCGGATTTAAAATATTTCTTCATTTGAGGGGCACTCTCTTGCAACAATTCATTCGATTCGAAAATGCATCAGGGGGGCAGCACAAACCGGTCAATATGCTGTACCTCATGTAGGTTACGTTGCGAGCAACCTTACTATCACGCGAAGCACAAACAGCTGCATTCACCAAACGAGTTTTCCCATCTCCCTGTTCATTTCGATTGTTTTCGCTGTAGACATTTATCTGTCTATGGTTTTCGCTTGTTGTGCCGGTGAATGGCTGAATTTCGATAACAACAATTTGTTCATCAGATATTTGTGATTATTACTGTGTTGAGAAGTGCGTCAAGATGGGAGTCACTGTGTAAGTACTTGAAATTAATGACATTTTATTTACAAATTGAATTTATCGCGAGAAAATGAATCTCTGGGATTCGTCGTTTTTGGTTATCTCACGTGTGTTTTTTTTATCACGAATATCTCTGGATAAAATGACGCGATTTGGACGAGTCACGTTTCGTTTTGAAGGGCCAAAGAATATCTTCAAAATGAGAAAAAAATTTTTTGATTTCACTCTGTCAATCTTGAGTTATTGACAGTTGAGGGAAGACAATTTTATCTCATTTTGATGGAATTCATTGAGAGATTTTTGTTGTATAGATTGCAGCAATTTCCCACGATGGAAAATCGTACGGGTCCGCAGACCATTGAATTCTTGACGAAGAGAATTCTAGCCCTCGGTGCTGTGCAAAGTGGCCACTTCTTGGTTGATTGCGAGACTTATATGTCAATTCCTCAGTTCGGTGAGTCTTCACAATTTTTATTTTAACCTTTTATTCATTTAATAGGATAAATCGAATAATGGGAAATACTTTAGTTGAAAATTTAATCAAGTGACAATTGCTGTGGTCTATTTTGAGGATTTTCGTGATTGAAAAGTAATTATTTAATGAGTAAAACAATGGGAGCTGAATTTTAGTTCAATTGTACAATGAAAATCAACAGAAATCAGATAAATTTGAAGGTTTTTTAGTTGAAAATTGTGGAGTGAATTTATACATGTGAAATTTTAGGAAATAGTTTAAATTTTCGAAAACCTCTTTTTTAGGCATGAATTCGATTTCTGGTAACTTTCTGAATATGAACAAATTTGTTACGATTCCGAACAATTGATTTTTATTGTGGAAAATCGATTGTTCATGAATTATTTATGAAAAAATATTCGTAATTTTCAAAAATTGCAATTTTAAAATTATTTTATTAATCTTTCTTCAAAAGAAAACTAATTTTTTTTCAGATTTTAATATCTAAATTCAAATTCAGAAATGCAAAGTTCAAATAAGTACTTGGTTATCCTTAAATCACAACGTTCTTTGGAATTTGAAGGAATTTCATTATTAAAAATTCACAATTTGACGAAAAAAGAAATGAAAACTCAATTTCAGTTCATTTATCCCATGAAAATTGATGTAGATCAGAAAAATTCAGGCAAATAGACTTTTGAATTTTGACTAGATGAAAAATAAAAAATGAAAATTGACTGAATCTTCACGATTTTCAATCATTTTCATTGTCATATGGACACAAAACATTGAATTTAGTTGCGAAAATTAAAAAAAAAATTGAAAATTTCCCACTTGAAATTCAAAAATGGGAAAACACGGGAAATTCACCTGATCTAAAACAACAAATAAAACCCAACAAATTGAAGTTTGAATATTCCTTATATTTCTCCATATCATGAGTATATTTATTTCCACGGACTACAAACACGCAACATTTTCAACTTGGAAATCAATCGAAAATTCTCCTTAAGATTAATCGCAGATGTGTATACACTTCGTTAATACTGTCTATTCGATAATCTATCGTAATGTACCTTCATATCGTTCTTAACTTAAATATGCACTCGTTAAATCCCGAATAAGCGACTTATCTCTGCCATACGAAGTATAAGGAAGAGCAGCGACAATTTCTGGACACATTATTGACGAATGGCTATCAGAGATCCAAGTATTTACAGTTATTCAGTTTAATACAAAGACACGTCTCTATTGCATTAACATTATGTATCGTCAGGCATTCACGATTTATTGTTTCTCTTCTTAATTATTAACATTATCTTTACTTTAGTTCTATAAATAAATATCACGTATGTCTTCATACCTAGACCGGCGGTACTACTTTTATTCTACCAATATTTATTGAAAAAAGATCTCAAATATTTTTTTAGATTCCCATTTGGTGTTTCAGTTTGATTTCTTTTGACATTTTAAGAGGCCTCGGAACTCAGATGAAACTACCGAAATGTGGGGAAAACTTTTCGTCATGAATTCTCTTCCAAAAGTGGATAAAAAAATCAGAAGGATAGCTTGAAAAATTTGTTCATTCTCCAGAAATTGGATAAAACGAATTGAAAGTGATTTCGAGATCACAAATAATTATTCGAAGTGTTTAAAATCGTGAGGTGATTAACAGCCGTGGGCGCCGCCATCTTGTTCTGTCCCGAGGGGCTTTCAAGATGGCGGCGCCCTCACCTCGCATTTTCAAACATCTCTTAAAATTATTTATCCTCTTTAAATCACTCTGAATTCACTTCAATCCTTTTCTACAAAAAGGAACAAATTTTTGAAGCCATCTTTCATATTTTTCCACCCCCTTTTGGCTGAGAATTCATGGCACGAAGTTTTCCTTAAATTTCAGCTGTTTTTCTTTCTCTCCCAAGACTTCTTAACTAAGTTCATGTATAAGCGTGTAAATAGTTATCGTTATACCTTCAGTATTGTTTAATAATTCTTTTCGACTCAATCAGTTAAAAATATGAATGCAAATAAATGCTCGTATGCTATAGAAACCTCGAAGACTTGATTTCATCTACAGTGCCTGTTTCAGTTTAAAACTGAACATTTACACAGATGAACATACGTTATCGTTAATCTATGCTCAATTACAAAAATATTCAAACTATTAAAGCCAGAGCTACGAGTATTGTCATCTTATTGTTTAGAAAATTTATCCGTTCTCGGTAATTCCGGCTCCATCACATGAAATTTTATAAAATGTACATGTCAGGTACTCTAATATGTTTTTTTTTTTCGATGAGTACTGGACACTTACACTTCCTTTAAAAATTGCACTTTCTCGGGCGAGTTAACAATGCTGTCTCATATGCCTTCGATTGAAAGCTTTGCGAATATTCACTTTATCTAGGAATTCATTTCGGGAGACACTCTTGCGGGGTTTTAGCACACGTTTACAAATATTAGAATGCGATATTGACAGGTTTCAGATAGTTTTCGGCGTTCTGCGTATGGCTTTGAAGCTGAGAAATAAAAATTCTCATATTTATTTGTTGATTTTTCATGTTTTATCAGTGAAAATTGTTCAAACATGCTCTTCAGTGTCTGGGACCCTTTTCCAATATTTCTTTCACGATTTGCAAAATGCAAAAATTACTTGTGGATGTGATAATCCAACCAACTATTGCAAAAACAAAAAATAATTTCAGTAGTGAAGCGGTAAAACGGCTCAAGTAGATTTTGTTTTCAATGAATATCTCGAAATCTAAGAGGGATAGTAAAATTGTTCTCATGACCTTTTTTGTAGTCCTCAACTCGCTCAGCAAAAAAGGTCATTACGAAAATTTCGGTATCTCTCTTAGATTCGGAGATATTCCTCGATAATTCAGCGAAGGACTCAATCGACTTGAAACGTTTTACCCTTTCACTATTGATTTCGTGAAGCTGATACTATTCGATTTAGGGAAATCTAGGTGTCTCCAAATTCGTTAGCACCTGGAAAAAATTTGCTCACAGTTGTTTGACCCTCAACCCTAAAAAATCCCCTAAATCGAATTTTCCGCTGGCGAAAATTCCGCTAGGCTCAGCCCCATCATTGTATCCTACTTTGATCTTCTTTATTGTCAAAGTTCTTACGTGTAATTGATAGCCCTAAGATTCAGTTACTCAAAATATCGATATAAACAAGTACAGATAGATCCCCCATACTCGTAAATCCTATCGTCTAAAGGAAATACGGAATAAGGAACATAAAAAAGTTAGTCCGTTCTGATGTACAATATAGCTGTAGAATTTCGTACAATAATTTGTCTATGCCGTATGCTCCTATTGGCGTGAAAAAATTAATCTAATTTTGTACAATGTCATGTTAAAAACTCGCCTAAATTAACTCTGCCTCTATAAATTTGCATTTTACCATTGGGAACATGTTCAATTCGCAAAAGTGCATAGTGCAGATTTATGTTTATCTAGGAAGTAATTGTACAACAGTATGTACAGAAGAAAGAAATTATTTATTTTTTTCCATCTGACCTCTAGAGAGGAGTTGCATGCATTCAACCCGTGAGCTCCGTCTGTCTTGTTTCAATTCTTATTGTACAAGAATGGATGGACCTAGACTGCGAAGTAACTTTGAAGATTGAGAGAGAAATCGTTAAGATCGTGAAGGATTTTCAAAAAATTTCAATGCAGTGACTCAATGTTTGATTTATTTTCTCTGAGACATGAAATGAAAAATAGTTCAATGTCTTGTGAAACCCTAGAAGAGCATAAAAATCTCAACAAAGCTGGACACAAAGTCATAACCGAGAATGCAAGTCGAAAATTTGGGAGTAATCCCCTCACAATAGCAGTTATCGCTTAAAAAATATCTTTCGGCACGAGAGCCTTTGAGCATTACGTTAGATACCAATATATTCGTAAAAACCTATGTTGAATTTTTCTCAAAAAATTAATCTCGTAATTATGATAATTCAAGTCAAGAAGGTTGTTCATTATTGTCGTTATTCTAGGTTTATTTTAAATTCTATGTTTATCAATTGCTCTCACAAAAGTAAGGAAATCATTTTGTTCTGTGAATCAATCACAAGTTGACCTTGATTTTTGAACATTGGGTATTCATGACAATTATTTTTAAGACAGTGGACACTCCCTACGATTTCACTTCTCTAAGATTTTTGTTGGGGAAGTAGACTTCCCCCACCATTGACGATCTAAGCGTGCGTGGGCCCCTGTGCGCGGCAGGAATGCGCAATAGATAGATTCTCTCTCTCTCTCTCTCTCTCTCTCTCTCTCTCTCTCTCTCTCTCTCTCTGTTCCGCCTCATCCTCAGTCGAGCCATCGGCGTATGAGCGGGGGCTTCCCGACGATTTAAATTCGTGAAATTAGTTCCCCCGAAGCTGAAATCTTAGGGAGTATCCACTGTTGTGTCAGGATACCCTAAGTACGGGGCATTAATATTCATACATTATGCTACCCTCAGTTATTCATCATTAACATTAGTTATTTAATATTCCCAAATTTGGCAATGATTCGTATTGTCGGTTATTATTGTTCTTACCTTAATACAGCTATTGGAATTAAAAATAGCGAACGAATATACATGTCTATGTGTCTGATTATCTTCAGTTTATCTTTACCCTACGAATATTCACGTGGTCCAACCCTCGGATATCTTGAAATCCGATTCACTCTACATCCTTTCCGTCGTCATCGCCATCCTAATGCACTCTGTACACTGATAATCTACATTCATACGAAAGATACGATTTAATATCGTTAATTGAGACCTCATAAGTGATATTATAAATCTATATTCTTTAATCATTGATTCGTATCTTTGTGGTCAAATATAGAATGTCCATATACCCGGTGGTTTCGTATCAACTTGGCAACCCCGGAATTATCTATCCAGCAATATCGATATTGATATTATAAAAGTCATTGGGAGTGAAAAAAACTACTGAAATTCGGGGATAATTTTGCATCATAAATTTTCAGCCAAA